GAACTCACGGACCACGAGATCGTGACCTGGCTGAAGTCGGACGCTTAACCGACTGCGCCACCCAGGCGCCCCGAAAGTCCCCTCTTTTAAGGGAAGCCAGAGTGTGGGGTCAGGAAGAAAATGGCCACGTGGCCTCTGTGTGTCGCGTTGGGATGTGGTGCTGCCCCTTACCAGTCGTGTGACCTTGGTCTTGTTACTGGAGCTGCCTCACAGGCAGCTCTGAGGGTTCAAGATCAGCTGTGAGAGTGGTGGCTGAGGCCTTGGCAGGGAGAGGCAGGCAGAGGCCCCCGTGCCACCCCGGCAGGACCTCAGAGGGCCGGGGCCACCGCTCTCTCTCAGCACGGCTTCTCTTGGAGCAAAGACACACTTGGAGGTGTGGCCCTTGCAGGAAAGAGAACTCATCCTTTTCCCTTCCCCTTCACCGAAATCACTCCCGATGTCTCCTTCTCTAGGGCCCGTAGATCCACACTAGACATCCACCTTAGCCAGGCCCAGACTCCAGACATCAACCGCTGCCCATTAAACCCACCGCTGGCTAGTGGGGCAACAGGTGCAGGAGGGAAGGCTGACCGCCCTCCAGCCTGGGTCCCAAAGAGAGGCCCCGCGTCCAGAGGGACTGTTCTGAGACATCGTGCGACCCTCCTCCTCCAGCCCTGCCTGTCTCTTTGCTAGGAAGGGCTACCGCACGGATGCCACAGTCTCCGTTTTCCTTGGCTTCCTCCTTTTCCTGATCCCGGCAAAGAAGCCTTGCTTTGGGAAGAAGAGTGACGGTGAGAGAAGAAGTTGGGGCTGGCCCTAGTCAATAATACCCAAGTCAGAAGTGGGGGAAGGAGATTTACCGAGGCTGTTCTGAGTGCCTCCCCCGTACCCCACGATAGAGGCAGAGCCCGCTCCCAAATCATCGGTTCATCAGTTAGGCCCTTACTCCACGAATCCCACCTATTAGGGTTCATCTGGCTCTACCTCTGTCTACCTGTGATCCAGGGCAGAACCAGGAGCCCTCCCGGGGGACGGAGCCCATCATCACCTGGAAGGACTTCCAGAAGACCATGCCCTGGGAGATTGTCATTCTGGTGGGAGGAGGCTATGCTCTGGCTTCAGGCAGCAAGGTAACTCTTGAATTCTGTTGTCACTGGGCCGAAGAATTTTCAAGCTGCTTTACCTAATGGCCATTTCGCTTCTGGGAGGAAGATTCAAAGGCACGGAGGGAGAGGTGAATGGTCACCCAAGGGAACAGTCAGATGGGAGTGGCCATCCCATGTCCTGTTCCTGCCCTGAGCTCCTAAGCTAATGCTGCTGGGAACAGAGCTACAGACCAGCTGAGCTATGGGCTCTTGGCACACGGGCGCTCACACCTCACTCACCGGCCCACACGGCCACAAGCAAAACATTGGATTTTATAGCCATCTCCCTGTGGGCGTGTGACAGTGGTGTTAGGAGACGTGTCTGTAAGGGCCCGGAGACACCCTGCACTGACACACGGAGAACTACCCCTCAGTCAGTCCTTACGCATATATTGAGCCCCTTGGGAGAATGCACGCTAACGCTCAGGCATATGCTGTAAACGCGCCCTGATTTCCTGACTGGGCACTACTGGGATGAGATCTTATAAAGGGGGCCAGTGGGAAAGCGTTAGCCCTTCCTGAAATAGAGAATGATCCTCACAATGAATCAGGTTCACACCGTTTGTCCTTTGACCTTTGCTATATTCATTAACTTGGCTCACTTCTGACTGCCCATTCATTGAGGGCCAGTGCTATCTGCATCACCAATAATAAGGTCAAAGAATCCTACACTTGGAAGGAACCTTGGAGGACACTGGGTCCCGTCTACCCAATGAGAGAATTCCCTGCACGACACCCCTGGGCTTGAACACCACCAGTGACCGGGTATTCTTGAGCAGGGAACAGAGAATCGTTCTTTACATTCAGCTCAGGTCCTCTGTCTGTCTTCCACTGTTGGCTCTGACTCTGTCCTCTGGAGCCCCATCCTAGGTAATAATTATTAAAATAATAAAAAGTTATTAGATCCCCTTAGATCTTTTTTTTTTTTTTCCTCTCTCAACTAAAAGTCCCTAGTTCCTTCAACCATTCATCAAGAAATAGTGACCCCTTACCACGCTGGTCTCTCTCCTCACCACTCACTACACTTTGACCCTGACCTTATTCAAACGTGGTCCAGGGGCGGTCAGTCTACTGCAGAGTCAAGTAGTCCTATTACTCCAGCCCCAACTCTCACCTCTGATCCAAGCACCATTCTGTATTTTTATGGACGCTTTTACAAGGCCTCAACGGCACTCATGTCAACACTTATGTTGAAATTGCAGCCAATTAAAACCCCCATTCTGGAGGCGCCTGGGTGGCTCAGTGCGTTAAGCATCCGACTCTGGCTCAGGTCATGATCTCACGGTTTGTGAGTTGGAGTGCTGCATCGGGCTGGCAGCGCAGAGCTCGCTTCAGATCCTTGGTCTTTCTCTCTCTCTCTGCCCCTCTCCCACTCGTGCTTTTTCTCTCCCTCTCTCTCTCTCAAAAATAAACAACACAATTTTAAACCCTCATTCTTTTAACTGTTAGCCACTATTAAACTTCAAGTCTTTCAACCAATTCTGTATACATGCTGTTGGTATTTCTGATTCCAAGTTCAGAATATCATACTTATCTTTTTTGAATTTCAGTTGTTAGTTTTGGCCCCTGAGTCTAGCCTGGAAAGATTTTTTTTTTAAACCTAAATTGTGTATGTACTACAGATAGCATAGTTGATATTTCTGTACAATCTAATGACTCTACTAATTTTAGTAATATAATTCAAGTATGACAGTGATTCCTACCGAGTTTGAAATCATTTCAGTCTCGACATGAGGAAAATCCAATGTAAAATGCATACCAAGGTTTAAAAAAAAGTAAGACTTCCTTTTGGTGCTTTTTTCTAACTTCGCAATCCAATTTATCAATTTATTTTTAAATTTATCAATTTATCCTGTCTTTGTCCAGTGGGCCAGGTTTAATGTGCTAGACGAGATAATGATTACAGAGTTCCTGTAGGCCTCAAAGCTCTGTACCAACCATGAATTGCTGTAGTCCCCGCATGTTGGATTTGCAGCTCTCGGTCAAGGCTCCCAGGTAAAAGGGCCACAGCAGAGAGAATTCTGAAGGCCTTCGGTCACCAGCTGCCTATGAGCTCGCCTTGGGGTACTATAGAGATCAAGTAGCCTTTGATGAATTCAGCAAAAGGGAGAAAAAGCCTGCTGACGATGCGGTGAGGCTGTCTTTAACAGCAAAATATGAGTAGGACTTGACCCTTGAGGAGTTATAAAATGTCTCACCTTGCTTTCAGCCCTACTCTCCAGTCCTTTAGCGCGTCTGCAGTCTCCAGGGTATTCAGGGGACAGCAGAGCACATCAACCACAGGACGGAGAGGAAAAGGGAGGGAGGAGAATGCATATGGCGACCTGGGGTTTTTAGTACAAGGATTCAATGGTGTCCTTCATTTTTTAGGGGAGGGAGGGAATCTTCACCATTGGCAAATGAACAGTTCTCAACCAAATAAGTTATTCCAAGAGGGAATATTCATTTATTGGAGCAGATCGATGTAAATTTTGCTAATGGAAAAGGTTCAAGAGTGGCAGCATGCCTTTGTATCTTGTGTCATGAAAAAGCACTGACAATTGTAGATCCTGATGTCAGCCATGATGAGATTGAACCTGAAACAGGTTGGGACTGTATGACTCGGCTTCTGGGTCACCTTCCCAGGAGGAGGCACCTTCCCACTAAGTGGAGATAGACCCGTAATCCTCTCCTTCGTCACTCATGTAAAGCTTCTAGTGTTCAGCCCTGCCCACTGACTCCCCCAAAACCACAGGAAAGGTCATTATCCAAAGATGTTGATAATTTTCACCCTTTCACAGGTGATAAGAGAGCTAGATTTCAAAAGCAGAAGTGAGGATTACACTGGGGAGTCTGTGTAAAAAGCACTGTTGACTGAATACCCAGAGTGAGAATGTCAGAAGCTGGAGAGAGTAATGAGATTGACATTGAGGGGCTAGTCGCCCCCAAAATCTCTAGCCCCTACCAAGCCATTATACAATCATAAAGAATTTTCTGGGCTATGGGGCACCTGGGTGGCTCAGTCGGTTGAGCGTCCGACTTCGGCTCAGGTCACGATCTCGCGGTCCATGAGTTCGAGCCCTGTGTCAGACTGATGGCTCAGAGCCTGGA